CCGGGACTGCTTCCCCTCCCTGACCTCCACTCCGGGACTGCTTCCCCGCAGCTCCAGGATTTGCATCCGGAGCTCGCCAACTCCTCCATTCCCCTCCGGGTGAGTCAAAGTCATATGTTGAGAAAAAAAGAGAAAAGAAAGAGGTGCAGCAGACGAGCTCCGGCTGAGTGCCTTACTCTGCCACCATTTTCCACGAGAGTTATTACACACAACCAAATATCTTTCCCACCACCAAATCACCATGACTCGGTTTTTTTTGTTTTTATCTATTAACTGCCACTAGTAAACTAACAGTGTATCCAGTTAGACATTTACATACAAAGCCCATTATAGACAATGCACACCATCAAAAGTGAGGGAGGGGTAGGAAGAGCGAAAAGGGGCTAAATTGAAATGGAGTTAGAAGAGAAAATTATGCACAGTGCCCACCTCTCTCTTTGGGATCTGCCTCTTAATATTTTCTAACCAACTGGCTCAGAAATGTTTTTACACACCACTGGAGTCAGTGGGCTTTAACACTGGCCTCCTGGTCCAGAGGTAGGGACACTAGCACTGTGCCACAAGACCCCTTGTGGAGGCTGCTTTCTTATATAATCAACCTGTTTAGAAAGTTATTAAACACCTCTGAAGAACATGAGACTTGAACTCAAGCCACTTGGCTCAAAGGTAGAAGCACTACCACTGCACCAGAACAGCTGTCTGGGGTATGCTTTATTTTTCTTTATTATAGTCAACATTGTTATAATGGACAAATGAGTGACTTTCTCACTATCAAAATCACTGTGACCTTTTGTGTTACTTTCTCCTTTTAACTACCACCAGTAGTCACTTGCATCTCCAATTCAATATTTATTCACAAAGCCTGTTAAGGGCAATGTCCTTTTCTTATTAACATCAACCCAGAAGTGCAATTTCACACATCTGAGCGACCCTCCCACCACCCAAATCACTGACTTCTATTTTTGCTTTTTATTTGAACTACGACCATTGGTTTGAGCTGTGTCTCCAACCAATTTTTACAAACAAAGCCCATTAAGGGCAATGGGTTTGCTTTATAAATTTTTTTATTTAACTTATTGTTCTAATCAACCTGCTCAGAAATGTTATTACACACCTCTGTGAGCAGGTGGGACCTGACCTTGGGCCTTCCAGTGCAGGGATAGGGACATTATCAC